GGGCCTGAAGGCCCGTTCGCCGGCCTGCAGTGGCGGACCCTACCGGCTCCGTTAGCTGGACTGTATGCGGCCCGTCAGTGAAGACGACGCTGGCTGCGATGACTGGCTCCCTCCCCTCCCAGCCACCCAGCCAATGACAGGCCAGGTTCGCTGAGGGAGCCAGTATGAAGGCCCGTTCGCCGGCCTGCAGTGGCGGACCCTACCGGCTCCGTTAGCTGGACTGTATGCGGCCCGTCAGTGAAGACGACGCTGGCTGCGATGACTGGCTCCCTCCCCTCCCAGCCACCCAGCCAATGACAGGCCAGGTTCGCTGAGGGAGCCAGTCATTGGAGGCAGCATCTTCTGAGTGGCAATTTTTTCGCCCATACACTAACGGGGCGCATTTTAGAACGTGGGTCCCCACTATTCAATTATGATAAGGAGAGATGATCTATTGCTACAATGTACTCACTCCTAGCTTCCATTTTTTAAAAAGTAAGTCATTGTCATTGTGAAACTGTGTGGCCTGAGGAATGAAAAGGGCTACAGGCTTAGAAAGAAAGAAATCTGGGAACTAGGCGACCATGGCAATAGGTCATTATAACACTATAGCAATCATGTTATCCACCACATGGAAGCCTTGTTACTGCTGTGCAGAATTGGTAGCCACAGTAGCAATAGGGAAACCACAGGAAATCATCTCCATGAAGAAAGCACCTTCAATAAGAAAAGGTAAAGAACTTCAGCTTTAGGGGACAAGATTCAAAGCATCAATCAATCCTTTTGAGTGATCTTCTCTGAGTGCCTCACAGCCCCACAGCTGCAGGGCACTCAGAGAATATTGCGCAGGGAAGCCAGGGAAGCCAGGCATGTCTGCCCGGCTCCGCAGCTACGGGACACTTGGAGAAGATCGTGCAGGGCTGCCTGGAGACAGGAAGGGGAGCTGGGCAGACATGCAGGCACAATCTTTCCATTTTATTCTATGGGACCATAGAATACAATGGAAGGATCCTGCCGCCCCTGCGGCGCGACTCTAGAGGGAAGGGGTTTAAACTTTCGCTTCCCCCCCAGCCCGCCTTGGCAGGCCAGCTTTTGAAGATGCCTCCCCCCTTTTTTGCTTTTTGCTAATGATTATGCTAATAGCAGGTATGCTAATAAGCTCCTGCACCTCTTTTTCTACGAAATGACCCCTGGCTGAAGTGACACTGAAGACCCCTGATTCAAATCTTGTCTCTGCCACGCCGTGTGGCTTTAGGCAAGCAACCCTCTCTCAGGCTCAGTCTTCCACATGCAGCATAAAGATACTAGTCCTGGACTAATGTACAGGGCTGTTCTACTGGTTACAAGAAGGCACTGTATGCGAAGCACTTTGAATTCTGCAAGTGCTATATAAATGCTAGACATTATTATTTATTAAACTATGTAATCAATACTGCTTAGGTGCCAAATGAAGTGCACCGAGGAATGCATCAATAGGATTTATTTTTAAAAAAAAATGCTAAAAGCAGCCACGTGGGATTTGGATGGAGGGCCATGACACTAGCAGAGGGGCATTTTCACCCTTCCCTCCTGTTTCCCAGGTGCAATTTGCTCATGCCCCAGAGGTGGGGTTTTTTTCCTTTTATGGAAAAGATGCCAATACCACAGACATGACTTTATGTTTCCCCTACAGGGCAAAGGATCGGTTATGGGGGGGCAATATGCATTGGAAAATTGGGGCAAGGGTTAGAAAAAACCTCCTACCCCATCATCATGGCCCCGATCCAGATCCCTGCTCCCATCCATAGCTTCTTATATCCTTTTAAAACCATGGGCAATCTTAATTGTGGATAATCTGGGTCATAATTCATTTGACCCAAAAAGTTCTTTACTTTGATTTGTTTGTGATCTTAGTCATACTAGTAATTAGTAATATAGAACAATTTAATGGTCTACAACAATAGATACTCCTAGCAGCAGGCAAACACACGTGCACAGGTGCATAGTGCAGAAAGGGATGCAAGCCTGGGACCTCCTGCCTGCATCCTGGCCATTCAGGTGTAGTCCACACCACCAACTCACTCTTACCTCGAGGTGTCTGATGGGGATCTTATGCTTGGTGGCATGGCTGTGTGCCAGTGGTTTGAGTTCTGCTTCATGGTTCCCTTTCCGCTTCAGGATTCTGCCCAGGGCACTGAGGACAGTCGTTCCATGCTTCTTCAGTTCTTCTGAGCTCTTCATCTCATCAAGCGTCTTCAGGTGTTTAAACTTGCCAAAGTGTTCCATGGTCTCAGGATAGCTCTGAAACATCCTGCCAATGGAATGGAGGGGAAAGCTGGAAGTTAGTGATAGCTCTAGGAATCACCGGTTACCATAGGGTTTCCAGTGATTCCTAGAGCTACTGCTCTGGGTTTTCCCCAGAAGTGATGTCATCATACTTGCGATGCCAGTCCCCATCATATCCCCACCCCCAACTCTCCTGCCAGCTGCCAGGCTCAGTCTGGCAACCCTCCCTGGGTTACACCCTCCAGGTGGGACCAGAAGTTCTCCTGGAATCAGGCCCGTAGCCTGTGTGGGGCCCACGGGGCCCGGCCCCCCTGCTGGCTTTGCGGGCCCCCTCCCTCTCGATCCTCTGCTCCCCCTCCCCCCCACTGCAGTTCGGCAAACCCCTCTGGAATCTCAAGCCGAACCAGACCGAGAAACGGGCCCTCCCCCTCGCTGCCGCTGCCCTGCAAAGTCAGCACCGCCTCCTCCTTCTCCTGCATCCCGCTGCCCCCGACGCGGATCTCGCCTTCTTCCGGCAAGGAGCCCCTCGTGAGGAGGAGGAGGAGGGGGACGCCCCCTCCCCTCCGAGTGGGAAGCGCGCCGCCCGCCGCCTCTCCTGGTGGGAAGGTAACTTTGTGGGCAGCGATGCTCCTCTGGGCTGCCCTGCTGAGGAACGCTCGCCCAGCTCTGCCGCCGCCGCCGCCGGGCCCATGAGCCTTCCCTGCCCGCCGCCGGCCGCCCGGCCGAAAGGAGCCCCTCTGGGCCCGGAGACGGGCAGCCGCGGCGTGTGGGTCTGTCTGCAGGAGGAGGAACGAGCCAGAGTCCCGGAGCCCCTTCGAGATGAGCAGACTCTGAGTAAAACCAAACGCTTCTGTCTTGCTTTCCAGAGCCTGGAGACAGAACTGGAAGTTAGGACTCTCCCCCCCCCTCCCTCCCTCCCTCCCTCTCCTCGCTATGGTGCGGATCGTTCCAGCGCGGTGCCTTTCCCAGCAGTCCTCCTCCTCCTCCCGATTTAACTAAACAGTCCGTGCGGCGGGCCCTCCCTCCCGCGGCTGTCTCTTGGCAGATTCCTCGGCAGGCCAGCAGCCATCCGAGCCCTTCTTCAACAATGCGGCCAGTGTGCCGCCCCCTGACGGCACGGAGCCCTCTCCTACCAGCGGCGCTCCCCCTTTGTCTTCGACGCCCTCCCCATATGCTCCCTGTCGCTCAGTCGGTGAGGCCTGGACCTCGGGGAGGGCGGGGAAGGGGATCTTTGTTTGCTCTCGGCCTGCAGAGCAACAGGACTCCACCCCCCCCTCCATGTTAGGATTCAAACGACGGGGAAGTGTTTCCCCTGATCCCAAAGTGCAAGAAGGCTGTGGTCATACACAGTTACAGCCCTAGGTTAGATTTCCGAGCGAGGAGTGCTGATACCAGCATACATCCAAAACGGCGTCGGTGATATCTGGCTGATTTGGCCACTTCCGGACTGTCATGTTGGTCACTGGTTTGTCCCTATTAAGGAGCTGCGGCGGCTCAAGTGGTTAAGACGCTGAACTGCAGGCTGTGGAAGGTCGGTAGTTCAGCAGTTCGAGACCCGGGTGCCGCATGATGGAGTGAGCTCCCATCTCTAGTTCCAGCTCCTGCCAACCTAGCAGTTCGAAAGCTAGAAATTGGCTGGGTTCGAATCCCACATTCTGCTGTGGCCGCTCACTGCCCTGTTGCTCTAACCCTCACCCACCTCACCAGATTGTTTTGGGGGTGATAAAATGAAGGCAGGGAGGACGTCGTCGTAACCCGCTTTGGGTGTTTGAATAGGTACAGGGAGTGGGTTTAAAGTGGGTGAGAGAGAACCAGAACCTTGTTCAGAACCAGAAGCTGCCTTATGCTGACTCATGGCCCTCTCAGTCCATCAAGGTCAGCATTGTCTACCCAGGCTGCTAGCCACTCTCCAGCATCTTTCCCATCACCTCCTGCCTGGTCCTTTTAACTGGCAATGCCAGGAATTGAACCTGGGACCTTCTGCATGCCAAGCAGAGGCTCTGCCACTGAGCCGCGGCCCCTTCTTACAGCTCTCCAGGGTCTTCACATCACCTACTGCCTGGCTCTTTTAACTGGAGATGCTGGGGATTGAACCTGGGATCTACTGCATGCCAAGCAGAGGCTCTACCACTGAGCCACAGCCCCTCTTTATAGCTCTACGGGGCCTCAGGCGGAGGTCTCTCCTATCACCTTCTGCCTGGTCCTTTTTAACTGGAGCTGCTGCCTGGGGATTGAACTTGGGACCTTCTTTAAGCCAAGCAGATGCTCAGCCACTGAACCACAGCCCCTCTTTACAGCTCTCCAGGGTCTCAGGTGTAGGTCTTTCACATCACCTCCTGCCTGGTCCTTTTAACTGGAGATGCTGGGGATTGAACCTGGGGCCTTCTGCCTGCTAAGCAGAGGCTCTTCCACTGAGCCACAGCCCCTCTTTACAGCTCTCCAGGGTCTCAGGCAGAGGTCTGCCTGGTCCTTTTACCTGGAGATGCCAGGAATTGAACCTGGAACCTTCTGCATGCCAAGCAGATGCTCAGCCACTAAGCCACGGCCCCTCCTAAAAGTGAGGTACACATGAGCACATGAAGCTGCCTTATACTGAGTCAGACCCTTGGTCAGTATTGTCTACCCAGACTGGCAGCCGCTCTCCAGGGTCTCAGGCAGAGGCCTTTCACACTGCCTACCACTCAGTCCTTTTACCTGGAGATATCAGGGACTGACCAGGACCTGGATGGCCCAGGCGAGCCCGATCTCATCAGATCTTGGAAGCTAAGCAGGCTGGGTCCTGGTTAGTACTTGATGGGAGATCCCAGGGCTGCAGTTCTGGAAAGAGCCCTCTCAGCCCCACCTACCTCACAGGTAGTGTTCCCTCTAAGCTGAGTTAGTGTGAGCTAGCTCACAGTTTTTTAGCCTCTAGCTCACACCTTTTTGTCTTGGCTCAGGAAGGAGGGCTCCAGAGCAAACTAATGTATGCTGTAGCCAAATCGCTCACTCACAACTTTAATGCCAGGAGCTCACAAAGCAGAATTTTTGCTCACAAGACTCCACAGCTTAGAGGGAACATTGGTGGTGGGCCCCCCGAGAAAAACATGGGCCCCCTGAGCAAAAAGTTGTTAGCTACGGGCCTGCCTGGAATTACAACTGATTTCCAGACTACAGAGATCAGTTTTCCTGGAGGAGATGGCCGCTTCAGAAGGTGGACTCTATGGCATCACGTCCTGGTTGAGCTTCCTTCCCTTTCCAGACTGCGCTGTCCCCAAGCACTACCCCCAAATCTCCAGGAATTTCCAAAGCCAGAGTTCGCAAACCTACCCGGGACCCTTTTTCTGTTGCAGAAATATAAGAGGAAAGAACAAAGAAAAAAAATGTGAGTTAGGAATTCAGAGGAACTGGTAGGTCATGGCACTAGATTGCTATTTTTGTGCTACAGTGCTGAAAAGTACTGAGACCTACTAGCGATTTCAGCTCTCATACTTTATTTCAGCTCAGAACAAGACAACTTTAACCGGCTCGCAGGCCGGTTTATATGTGCAACAATCCCACACCCAAAACACACCCACACACAAGTGATTGATCATTATAGTGGCCGAGAGTTCCATGGGCTCTCGGCCGGGAGCCTAGCCCTCCCATTGGTACGGGCAAGGATCCGCTTGGCCCATTGTTCCTGAGAGTGAAGCTCGGCCACTTCGCCTGACCGAGTGGCGACCTAGCCGCACACGCAGTCAGAGATGGATACATTACAAGTGCAGTATCAATTACTGATTATTTTGAAAACCTTCAAAAAGCCATCTGGAGGCACGGCGGGGGAAATGGCAATTGTGAGGGGTTGTTAGAAGGAAGATAGTGCTGATGTGGGCTAGACTCCTGACAAGGCACAGCTTCCCAGACAAATGGCTTGCTTACGTGCTTGGATTGCATTCCTTCCAAAAAGATCAGATTAAAGCAGGTTTGGGAAAGAGCATGCCAAAAATGGGGAAATCCTGGACAGTGGATGATTAGAGGATGACATCACACGGATGCTAAAAAAAACCCCAAGGCACTCCAATTTGGAAGTCAAGGCAGAGAAAAATCTCCTTTTGACTATAATGTCCGGTTTATGTCCATGTCTCCTGACCCCAAATTCTCCTCCAAGGACTCTTTACACTTTAGAGGCTCTACTCCATTTGCAGCCCAATGGGTTCCTTTGGGGGAGGGTAATTGAGATCTGTGGGGAAATTATTTTCTCCAATCCAAATTGGAGAAACCAAACATTTAAACCATAAAGGGGCAGAGGCCCTTACATTTCAAAGGTTTCTGGAACAATAGAGTGAAAGAATAGGCAATGCATCCAGTTTCTTTCACGTAGTCTCCAAACAAATGCCCAGGACTGTACTGGTTTAGTTTGGCACTGGTTTAGTTTGCCCCCAAACCTTCCTTTAGCAGTGAAGGGAAATTAATTCCTGCCCCACATCCATTCTGGTAAAGGAAGAGGCAGTCTGCATCTCCCAAACATGCGTGCTTCTGCATTCGTGAAAATAACAGAGAAAAAATTGAGGAAGGAGGAAAGGTACAGTCCCCCCACCCAAAAAAAGGGAATGTGGCATGGCATAACCCAGTCTTACCAGATCTTGGAAGCAAAGCAGGGTCAGTATTTGGATGAGAGACCACCAAGAATGTCTCTGCAGAAGAAAGCAATGGCAAACCACCTCTGCTTCTCACTTTCCTTGAAAGCCCCTTGCTGGGGGGTTGCCATAAATCTGTTGTGACTTAACAGCACCTATGGATGGAGGTACATCCAACCTTCTTTCCACCAGTCTATGGCACTCAAGTTTGGAAGTGGAAGGCAATCCTAAACCTCCCTTTAACACCATTCCGGTGAGGGAGTTAAATCCTGTTCTGAACTGCTAAGAGAAGGTTTGGGCAGGCAGCCTCTAACCTGAGTGTAGTGATCTCGTACTAGTGCACTAAGCATCATGCAGCTCTTCATTTTGGGACCACAGCAAATCCTGAACATGAGCACCCTACAGGTCTGTTGCTAGGACAATGAAGCATTCCTGTCTGGAGCTAGCTGGCACCCAACACAGAGGAGCAACCGTGCAGTAGTACTGTAGTCGTTGTTTGGGGCCAGGCAGAGTAGTGCTGCAAGAGACCTACTTCAGCATTTTGTTGCTGTTTCCCACTTACCTGGAGCAGATTTTAATACAAATGTAATAGTGTCAGACTAGGATCCCCCCTCTACCGCAAAGCTTCCTGGGCCAGTCATTCTCACTCAGTCTAACCTACCTCACAGGGTTGCTGTGAGATGACATACTCATATATGCTGTCCTGTGCTGCATGGATAATGGGTGGGATAAAAAGGTACTGGGGAGACATGCTGTTTTAACTCCCACTATGTTATAGATATTAAGATCGTTTGTACAGTACTGCCGAACAATCAGGAAACTGCATTCTGTGTTTTTTGCTGGTTGCTTGTGTGCCTTGGTTAGTTAGAACCTCGACATTCTGTTCTCCTGGATAGAATGCAAACCTATCAGCTCTGCTGGCTTGTAATGAAATGCAAATATGGGAAGGCTGCGGCTCTAATCTTCTTGTTTATTCTTTGTTACCTTTGCTAATGAGTTATTCAATAATGCCAGTTACAGCAGCAACGGATCAGAACACCTTAAACAGAAAATCTGAATGATGAATCAGGATTTCCTTACTCCAACGATTATCTAATAAAATCAATTCAAAGAACTGACATCCTCAGGGTCACTTGCAAGTTTATCTTCCTTTTTCTTCTGCCCATATAATTATTATCTGTTGGTAATAGGCCAGGCAGGTTCTTAACTCCACTACGGCAGCTTCTAAGCTTTGCTTCCTGCAGCCCAAATTAATACCCCACCGTACGTCTTAGTTGTCTCAGCTTTTTGGCCACACTGTTTACAATTTTGTTTTCTTCTGTACACATAGATATATCTTTTTTTTTCATTCAAGCATAACCAAGTGCATACGGTGAAGTAAGGTTTACTCTATGAAAACATAGGCTGTAATAAAACTGTTAGACTTTAAAGCGGCACAAAACACCCTTTTTATTCCAGGCGCTGTAGCTTCTCAGATTTCCGTCAGCAGCTTCTGCTTACCTGATGATAACTTCCTGTCCGTGTGCAGGGAGATCTGGTTCCACTTTTCCCCAGATGTCCAAGACCCTCTGCCATTCCTGATCACTGAGCCCCATAACGTCAGTTGCTCGAGAAACAATTGAAAGCAAGTTGTGTGGCAGAGTAGATACAAATGGCTCGTGTGTGTTCTTCCTTGAGTGCAGCGTGGGCAGAGAGACACCTTGATGGTTTATAACATATCTGACTTACAGACAGACACCTGTCAGTCGACAGCTCAAGTCTAGGTCACTCTGGTCAAATCTGTCCTCCCTCTCCCTCGCTCTCTCTCCTTAGAAAGCTATTTTAAGCCAGGCGCTATTGTAGCAACCCCAGATGAAATAATTGCTGTGTTTGGGATTCAACTGGCATAGGTCCCAAGGCGAACAGAAAGGGCAATTCCCCAGTTCAGTGCCAGGAACTTGTTACTCAGCTCCCATCCTGAGAACCCAGGACACAAAGTCACACTGGCTGCATTCATACATTGTTCACTACCATTGAGCTCTAGCAATCAGTTGCAACTGGGCTGCTTTGTCCACGCAGGAAAATCCAGTTGTGACTCAGTGACTGCTGCAGTGCAATACCCAACAATATGTGGAGACAGCCATTCCATGGTTTGAATTCCCACTCCGCCATGGAAGCTTGCAGGGTGACCTTAACCAGTCACTCTCTCTCAACCTAACGTCCCACACAGGGTGGCTGCTGTGAAGTTAAAAATGGAAGAAGGGATAACTAAGTTGTGAGCCGCTTCGAGTCCCCGGGGAGAGAAGAGCATACATCCCCAAATAAATCAAACACATATATATGTTTGGTCCAGTTCAGATTTCTTTGTAAGATTTGAGGGTGCATAAGGAGAACACACAAGGCAAGGTGGTGAAGAAATTGCTACAGCAAGGTAATTTAAGTTTGCTTTGGCTCCTGCTCCAGATCGGGATTAATCCAGATTGATTTTCATCACATATGAAATTGTATTAGACATGCTTTAAAACCTAGACTTGAAGCTCAATATTCCGACACTACTTTATTGCCACTAAACTCAGTCCTGCAGATTTTGTACACGATCTACTGTCACCTGGTGGCTCTGGGTGAGAAGCGCAGTGTGTGAAAGATTCATTTCATGTTCACTGTGAAATCACTCTAGAATAAATGTATGGCACTGGCCAATGAGGCAAGAACAACTGCCAAGACTCAGCCGTGCAATGTAATGAAACGGAAGGCATACGTGCTGTGCAGCTAGTACAAAAGCAGATGAAAAGCACCGGAGGCAAACAGTCGTGCTGCCTTTGCCTCTGAGCTAGGAGGACCAAAAGTGTAAACAGAGAGTCAATGAAGAAAGATGGACCTATGTGTTTATTTAAAATAGTATAGACTGGGCTCTTGGCCTGTAGTCCTCAAGATAGTTTACAATATACAATGAACAACAAATATAAGATAGAACAGTAAAATCTAGCTCTAAAATATAAATAACAGCTGCAGCTTTTTAACAATCTTATAAAAGCCTTAAAAACCAACACACTGTAAAAGTCATCATAAGCAAATAGACACCTTTTATTTATATATATATATATATATATTATAAGATAGAACAGTAAAATCTAGCTCTAAAATATAAATAACAGCTGCAGCTTTTTAACAATCTTATAAAAGCCTTAAAAACCAACACACTGTAAAAGTCATCATAAGCAAATAGACACCTTTTATATATATATATATATATATATATAGAGCTGCGGGGGCTCAAGTGGATAAGACGCTGAAGTGCAGGCTGTGGGAGGTCAGTAGTTCAGCAGTTCGAGACCCGGGTGTCGCATGATGGAGTGAGCTCTCATCTCTAGTTCCAGCTCCTGCCCACCAGCACACCGCAACATCTGGGAAGCATCACGCACCCATCCCCGATCCGTCCCTTCGGCCCGAAAATGCACATTTAAAAGGTACTAGCAACAGAGCACTACCTTCCGGATGATGTGCGGCAACTCCAGGCGTCTGGTCGGGGAAGCGCTGGTAGCCCGTCGCAGCCAGCGCCGTTCCCCATCCCACGCATGCGCACAACTGTGCTACTGCCGGTTTGCTGCACAACATTTGATCAGCTGCCAGAGCATAGAGCCGTGGGGGCACGTCAGATTGCACTCCCGCGGTTCTTTTTGCTCCGGCTCTAATTTGCCTCCTTTTGGCAGTGGATCATCCCGCTCGTTTGACCGGGATCAAGGATGATCAGGGGCCTGGGGACCAAGCCCTACGAGAAAAGTAGGGTTGCCAAGTCTGGCCCACAAGCCGGCGGTGGACTTACAAGGAGGCTCGAAGAGAGGGGAGGGAAGAAGCGTGACGTTCCTATGCCCCCTCCAGGTGACGTACACGTCAGGGATGTCAGTGACGTGCCTACATCACCCGAAAGTGACATACACATATTGGTGACATCGTGGGGGCTACACTCTGTTTTGGGGGCAAAACTCTATGGTTTGAAGCTAATTCTACCATAGAGTTTTGTCCAGAGTGTCACCAGATGTTAGGCACTTTTATGTAGTGGCCCATCACTTGTGGCCCCTCATGGATCACTGCCTTGTCGTGGCGAGGGGGCTTGCGCAGTTCAATGAAGCTGTGGGCTATGCCGTGAAGGGCCACCCAAGACGGACAGGCCACAGCAGAGAACTCAGACCAAGCGTGATCCACCTGGAGAAGGAAATGGCAACCCACTCCAGTATTTTTGCCAAGAAAACCCCATGGACAGTATCAAAAGGCTAAAAGATATGACGCCGGAAGATGAGCCCCTCAGGTCGGAAGGTGTCCAATATGCTACTGAGGAAGAGCAGAGGACAAGTACAAGTAACCCCAGAAAGAGTGAAGCGGCTGGGCCAAAGCCGAAAGGACGCTCAGTTGTGGATGTGTCTGATGGTGAAAGGAAAGTCCGATGCTGCAAAGAACAATACTGCATAGGAACCTGGAATGTAAGATCTATGAATCAAGGTAAGCTTGACGTGGTCAAAAATGAGATGGCAAGACTGAACATCGATATCCTAGGAATCAGTGAACTAAAGTGGACAGGAATGGGCGAATTTAACTCAGAAGACCATTATATCTACTACTGTGGCCAGGAATCTCGTAGAAAAAATGGTGTGGCCTTTATAGTCAACAAGAGAGTGCAAAAGGCAGTACTGGGATACAATCTCAAAAATGACAGAATGATTTCTGTCCGATTCCAAGGCAAACCATTCAACATCACAGTAATTCAAGTGTATGCCCCAACCACTGATGCAGAAGAGGCTGAAGTGGACCGGTTCTATGAAGACCTACAACACCTCCTAGAACTAACACCAAAAAATGATGTCCTCATCATCATAGGGGACTGGAATGCTAAAGTAGGAAGTCAAAAGGTAACTGGAATAACAGACAAGTTTGGCCTTGGAAAGCAAAATGAAGCAGGGCAAAGGTTAACAGAGTTTTGTCAAGAGAACACACTGGTCATAGCGAACACCCTTTTCCAACAACCTAAGAGGCGACTCTACACATGGACATCACCAGATGGGCAACACCGAAATCAGATTGACTATATAATTTGCAGTCAAAGATGGAGAAGCTCTATCCAGTCAGTAAAAACAAGACCTGGAGCTGACTGTGGTTCAGATCATGAGCTACTCATTGCAAAATTCAGACTTAAACTGAAGAAAATTGGGAAAACCACGAGGCCATTCAGGTTTGACCTAGATCGCATCCCTGATGAATATACAGTAGAGGTGAAGAATAGATTCAAGGGTCTGGATTTGATAGATAGAGTGCCTGAAGAACTATGGACAGAGGTTCGTGACATCGTACAGGAGGCAGCAATCACCACCATCCCAAAGAAAAAGAAATGTAAGAAAGCAAAGTGGCTTTCTGATGAGGCTTTACAAATAGCAGAGGAAAGAAGGAAAGCGAAAGGCAAAGGCGAAAAGGAAAGATTTACCCAACTGAACGCAGATTTCCAGAGAACAGCAAGGAGAGATAAGGAGGCCTTCCTGAATGAACAGTGCAAAGTAATAGAAGAAAACAATAGAATGGGAAGGACTAGAGATCTCTTCAAGAAAATTGGAGAAATCAAGGGAGCGTTCCATGCAAAGCTGGCCATGATAAAGGACAAAAACGGTAGGGACCTAACAGAAGCAGAAGAGATTAGGAAAAGATGGCAAGAATACACAGAAGAACTATACAAGAAAGACCTCGATGTCCTTGACAACCACGACGGTATAATCACTGACCTCGAGCCAGACATCCTGGAATGTGAAGTTAAATGGGCCTTAGAAAGCATTACTAACAACAAAGCTAGTGGAGGTGATGGTATTCCAGCTGAGCTATTCAAAGTCTTAGAAGATGATGCTGTTAAAGTTCTGCACTCCATTTGCCAGCAAATTTGGAAAACGCAACAGTGGCCACAGGATTGGAAAAGGTCAGTATACATTCCAATCCCAAAGAAGGGCAATGCCAAGGAATGTTCAAACTATCGCACAATTGCACTCATATCACATGCTAGCAAGGTCATGCTCAAGATCCTACAAGCTAGGCTTCAACAGTACGTGGATAGAGAACTACCAGAAGTACAAGCTGGGTTTCGAAGAGGTAGAGGAACTAGAGATCAAATTGCCAACATTCGCTGGATTATGGAGAAAGCAAGAGAGTACCAGAAAAATATCTACTTCTGCTTCATTGACTATGCTAAAGCCTTTGACTGTGTGGATCACAACAAACTATGGCAGGTCCTTAAAGAGATGGGAGTACCAGACCACCTCACATGTCTCTTGAGAAACCTGTATAAGGGCCAAGAAGCGACAGTTAGAACCGGATATGGAACAACTGATTGGTTTAGCATAGGAAAAGGAGTACGACAAGGATGTATATTGTCACCTTGCTTATTTAATATATATGCAGAGTACATCATGCGAAATGCTGGCCTGGATGAATCACAAGCGGGAATTAAGATTGCTGGGGAAAAGATCAACAACCTCAGATATGCAGATGATACCACTCTGATGGCAGAAAGTGAAGAGGACCTTAAGAGCCTCTTGCTCAGAGTAAAAGATGAGAGCGCAAAACTGGGCTTGAAGCTCAACATCAAAAAAACTAAGATCATGGCATCCGGCCCCATCACTCCTTGGCAAATAGAAGGGGAAGTCGTGGAAGTGGTGACAGACTTCACGTTCCTGGGATCCCAGATCACCGCAGACTGTGACAGCAGCCATGAAATTAAAAGACGCCTGCTCCTTGGGAGGAAAGC